GCTGTTCCGTCGGGGACAGAATGCGACTGCCATAGGCTACCACCCTCTCAACCCCGTCGACCACCTGAGCTAGGACAGCCCCAATTCCCGTGTCGCTGGCATCGGTATCGAGCAGGAAGGGTTTCGAAAAATCCGGGTACCCCAAGGGCGGCGCATCCGCCAAGGCCATGCGAAGTGCCGCAAAAGCCGCCTCCTCCTCCGCGCCCCAGTGAAACCTTTGGCCTTTGGCGGAAAGGGAGTGCAGTGGCTTCGCAATTGTCGCAAAATCGCGGACAAATCGGCGATAGTACGATGCGAAGCCAACGAAGCTACGCACCTCCGCGACAGATGTGGGAGTCGGCTACGTCCGGACACAAGCCGTTTTATCCGGGTCCGTGGCGACACCTGACGTGCTAACAATGTGTCCCAAATACCTCACCGATGGTTGTACCAAGTGGCATTTTTGGGGTTTGAATTTCAAGCCAGCAGCACGCACTTTGACGAACACCGCCTCAAGGCGTTGCAAGTGCTCGCCAAACGTACGGCCAAAAACAATAACGTCATCCAAGTAGATTAGACAAGACTCCCACTGCAGCCCCGCCAAGACCATCTCCATGAGACTCTGGAAGGTGGCCAGGGCCGAATGGAGACCCATAGGAAGCCGATTGAACTCGAACAACCCCTGGGGCGTGCGGAACGCTGTCTTGGGTCTAGAGGCCTCATCCAGTGGCAATTGCCAGAAGCCGGAGAGCAAATCTCAAGTCGAAAAGAACCGCGCGCCCGAGAGGGCGTCCAGGGAATCATCCATGCGAGGCAATGGATATGTTCAATCTACGAAAATCGACGCAGAACCGGAGACTCCCGTCCCGTTTCTTGACTAGCACAATGGGGGCACCCCAAGGGCTAGTAGATGGGGAGATGATGTCCGCCGCCAACATTTCCTCAACAGCCGAGCGGACATGATCTTTTTCCGCTGGGCTAAAGCGGTGGGAATTAAGTCGAAAAGGGGCCGCGTCACCCGTGTCTATGTGGTGGTCTAAAAGAGTAGTGCGACCCAGATCAAACTTACTTTGGCTGAACACATCGGTGAACCGCTCGATGAGGTCGCGGTGTTGCCGACGTTCCCCGGAGGACAACAAGGCATTCTCGTCGGACAACGTGGCGATCCATGATGCGTCGGGGTCCCCCGTGCGCATCACACCCACCACGACCCCTCCATCCGGGGCAGCGCTCTCGGGTGGAGGAGCCGGGGTCGCGTGTGCCAGGACGGCGCCGGCCAGGACTACGACCGGCAAGGGTCCCGAATTGAGGACCTGCAAAAAAAGGTCCTGGCCCCCCGACACGGCTGTCAAGGCGCCCACCAACCCCTTCGTCCTTGAAAAGTAACTTGACGGGGACAGGAGGATACCCGTCTCCTTGGAGCCCATCTCGAGCGGTTTGCGCAACCTAAGGGGTATCAGGATTTGTGACGCCGGTGGTACGGTCACCGGCGCTTTATTCAAGACCCGTACACCGGCGACCAAGGGAGACAGGACGGTAGGCGATTGTAGGAATTGCAGCCGCCTCCCTGACGGCATTTCCACACAGCCCTGGTCAATGAGAATTCGGATGGGCATCCTAGACAAAAAGTCGGTCCCCAAGAGGCATGGCACTGCCAAAGTCCTGGAGACCAAAATAGGCCCGGCCAACTCAATCTCGTCAACCCGAACCGATGCTACAACATGGCCCAAGATGCCCAAACTGCCGCCGTTCGCGGCGACACAAGCCCTGCGAACCGGCCTTAACGGACCCACGCTGCGGGGTAGCAGCCCAAAAATGGCCTCAGAAATAATGGTGGCCGACGCCCCCGTATCCACCAGGAGGCGAACGTGCACCCCTTGCACATATCCTGCCACTGCTGAGGAGCCGGCAGCTGCCGCCACCATCCTATGCGCAAGCGCATCCCAGTGGCGGGTCTGTCTGGGCCATTGAGGGGGTGATGACGATGGTGCACCTGACCCTTCGAGGACAACCCCATGACGATGGGCCCTAGCCCCGCTAGATGCATGAGGTGAAGGGAGCGGCCGCGCAGATGATGCGTCGCGACTCGCCTGGGGCCCCAGACCCGATGCCAACGAGGGTCTGGGAGAAGGTGGAGTCCCTTTTCCAAAGGCCCCCGGGGCATTCCGGCAGCCCCGCTCAATGTGGCCCCGCTGACCACAGCGGAAGCTGGCCACCGTGTCCGCCTCCTGCGGACGGGAAGGTCCCGGCCGCCCCCGCTGCTCCGGACGGCGACCACCCGCCCCCCTTCCTCGACCATCGGGCATCGCCAGGGCCGCGAGGGTGTCCACCCCCTGAGAGGTAGACCCCCCGTCCGGCGCCAGGACCCCCGCACACACCGCCATCTGAGGCCGTTGGCGGAGGGAGAGGTGCGCCTGAATGTTTTCGGCGACCGCCAAGGATGTGATCTGCCGATCATTGTTGATCGACAGAGCAATACCTAGCTCCCTTGCCAGGTCAAGCAGCTTCCCCAAGGCCATAGAATCAAGTGTCCTGCCGTACAGGTCAGGGTATGCAGCCTGCGCCAGGGCCAGGAGCGAGCAGCGGAAGGCCAGTGGCAGTTCCCCCTCCTCCCGCCGCGGCAATGAGAACTTTAGCTGCGCGCAGGACGGCGGCTCAAAAACGTTGGCCATTTGGATATAGGCCGCCGGGAGCGTAGCCCGATTGGCCGGATGGATGGACTTGAAGGCCTGCAGAGCCCTTTCGTCCAAGCAGGTCGGAAGCGCCGGCAAGGCCTCCTCCATGGACCAGCCGACCGACATGTATGCCGCGTCGAACCGGTCCTGGAAGGCCGACCAGTCGCCCCCTTGCGCGACAAACGGCGCGACGTCGGGTAACCGGCACTGCCATTGGCCGCGTGGCGCCGCGAGGTGTGGAAGCCAAGCGGCACCTGCGGGCCACCCGGCAGACGCGACATGGTGCGGCGGTGGCAGCGTTGCGGCACCCGTGGGCCACGCCGGAGACGTGGCAAGCGGCGGTGGTGCTGCGGCCCCCATGGGCCACGCCGTAGGCGCAGTGAAGTGCGGCTGAGTTGAGACCCCCATGGGCCACGCCGTAGGCGCAGTGAAGTGCGGCTGAGTCGTGGCCCCCATGGGCCATGCCGTAGACGCAGCGAAGTGCGGCTGAGTTGCGGCCCCCATGGGCCATGCCGTAGACGCAACGAGGTGTGAAGGCGCCTGCGCTTTCGCGACCCACCTGTCAGCGGCGGCGTACGAAGCCACTGCGTCGTCCGCGGCCCACCCCGCAGGCACGGTGAGGTGCGTGGCCGCGGAAGCCTCCCGCGATGCGGCGAGGGACCACAGCGTTGCAGCCTCAACGGGCCACGCCGAAGACGCGGCGGTATAATTCGGGCCTGCAGCGGCCCCCGCGGCCCAACCCGCCGGCGCAGCGAGGTGCGGGACAGCGGCCGTAGCCACGGCAACCTCCCGCGACGCGGCGAGGCACCACAGCGTTGCAGCCTCCATGGGCCACGCCGAAGACGCGGCGGTATAATTCGGGCCTGCAGCGGCCCCCGCGGCCCACCCCGCCGGCGCAGCGAGGTGCGGGACAGTGGCCGTAGCCGCGGCAACCTCCCGCGACGCGGCGAGGGGCGGCGGCATTGCGGCCTCCCCGGGCCACGCCGAAGACGCGGCGGTATAACACGGAGCCGCGGCGGCATCCATGACAAGGGACGCAGGCATGGCGAGGTGCAGAGCCGCGGCATCGCCGGTGGCCGGCCCCGTGAGCGCGGCGACAGGCGGAGCCGCGACAGCACCCGCGGCCCATTCCGGCGGCACGGCAATGTACGGGGCAGCGGCAGCCGCCGCTGCCCACCCCGGCGGCCCGGCGAGGACGGCACGCGCGTACTTACCCGGGGCCCCCCCGGGGTATCAGGATTTGTGACGCCGGTGGCAGCTTGATGTGAAGCCGCGTCGTCGCCGGCGGCTGGTCCCGCAGGAGTGGCGTGCCGAGAAACCCCGGCCGCGTCGGTGGAGAGACGCGGCGTCGCGGTCGCCATGGCAGCCATGGCGCCGACTTGCGACGTCGCAGCAACAATGTCCGCCGGCCGCCGCGTCGCAGCCGTAGCAGCGGCCGCATACGGCTCCCGAGCCAACATGGCCGCCGTGGATTGCGTCGCAGCCAACATGGCGGCCATTTCCGGTGGAGCGGTCGCTGGGAAAACGGCGGCGGTTTCAACGATGGCAGTTGACTGTTGCTCCCGTCCCGAGTGCGGGCCGGTTGGCTGCGTCCGCGCCTCCACCTCGGCCAACCTGACGGTCAGCTGCCCCACCGCCTGCAGGACCTGCTGCAGCAGAGCTGCGGGGATGCTCTCAGTCTCTGGCGGCGGCGGTGAGCTGGCACTCCCCGCAGCCGACTCCTCCCGCTCCGGCCCGCTCGTCTCCATGGGGACCATCACCGGGGTCCCGGGCTCCGGGGTCACTGCTGGAGCCTCCTCTCCGCCTTCGGCACCCTCCAAGTGATGTGCCGGTGGGTTCTTACGCCGTGCGCCCGATTTAGACATTGTGGCGACGGTGTAAACTACTGACACCAGTTGTTGAGTAGTTCCGACGGACGTACTCGGAGACGGAGGTAAGTTAGGGGCTTCCGCCAGGGTTTATTAACATTTATCCATACTACACAGGGTACACAACTGCCAGGGGCTAGGAGTCCTACTCTGAGTCCGGGTCCCTGCCGGCTAGCTCCGGTCTCTCACCTCTACGGCTACCACCGGCTTCTCCCCAGACTCACTACTCAATCCCTATCACTATCCCTGGTTCCCTCTTCACCCTGTTTACTATCCCCATTCCTATAGTGACCCCGCTTACGTCACGGGGTATCCCTTAAATACCCTAGGAGGCGTGACGTCACGTGCACTGCCCAGCGCGTGCGACCCCACGTCCCGTGATGTCATCGCACCGGACAGCGCACACGACGCCACCACTCTCCTCTACTCCTCTACACAAGTACCAAATTAGTCTGGAGGGGAAGAAGGGGTGTCGCACCTGGGGCCTGGCTGGAGGGGTCCTGTCTGCCGGGGCTACGTGGCCTCGGGGTGTTCGCTCCAGGGCCTGCAGCATGCGGAACATGTCCAGCGTCAGTTCGCTAAACTTCACCTGCAGCCACACGACACACGGCACGCAAGCCCTTCAGTCCTGACAAGCAGTGCAAATCTGATAAACTACGGTGACATGGCCCAGCGGTAGCATGTTCACCGCTTGTTGCGTAGATGTTAAAGATCCCGAGACGTCATTTGAATAAGAGTGAACCGGTGCATGCCAATTACATTGTTCAAATTTGCCAGATTTGAAAGATTACACCGCATGTTACTTAATTGGGAAACACATCGCAATCATCACTAATTTCAGCGAAAACCTGGCAGGGCCATCCTGAAAGAAAAAAGAGTCTTGAAACTCCACCTCCCAGACCCTCGTGAGGATTTCCTGGGTGAACAAGGGTACGAATAATAATAAATAATAATGATGAACACCTCCCCATTGCTCAGGTGAGTATGTAAATACCAAACCGGATCGGGGAGCGATGGAAAAAGTCGACCCCGTCAGACATCCAACCTCTAACCTGCTCAGCGCAGTTGCCGACCAGGATGGCGTCGGCGAGGGCGAGAGGGGTGGGCACCAGGAGGCCGTGCGGCCGGGCAAGCGCCTCACTGGGCGCCAGCCGGCACGTCGCCACGGCGATAGGGCCTCCCTCACCCAAAAACTGCCATGGATCGGCCTAGAGTAGAGTTGGGGAAAGTGCAGTTAAGGGGACAGAGATTGCCACTGTGTCGGCTTTCATGGTCGTGTTGCATCGAGGGAGAAAGTAAGCTGCTCAAGAAGGTCCAGTCACGTGGAGTGAAACATCGGACATCGTATCGAGCAACACGTGATACAACCAGAAAACACACCGGGAATAAAAACGGGGATTCATTTTCATCAATAACTTATCTGTAAGTTCATGGTTCAATTAAATACAGTGCTGATTATGTCCTTGCCCTTGTAAATCTAAACTTAATGTTTTTATTGACTCCATTATTCATCATAGATGAGTTTTATGGGTGGCGAAGTATAGTCAACAAATCCACTCCATTAACTGTAAGTATCTTCTTGGTTCACGTAGAAGGGAAGTAATAAAATAATAAAAATAAAACATAATAAAATAATTCTCACGACGTTTCGGCCACAACACAAGCAGCCGTCCTCAGGTGAAGACCAGGTCTGTCGAGGCGACAGCGTCTAAATGAAACACCACCACGCTTGGAGCGTCTATTTAAGCTGGGTTGGGAGGGGGGGGAAATGCGCCTTGACAAAATAATCTGCATATCAAGAGGAATTTAGCATATTTATGGGAAATGCAGGAATGTGACTAGTGCTACTTGTGAAATGCGTAGGAGGTGGGCGGGGGGTTTTCAAAGTCATATTATGCCCATGCATTATGCAGGATTAGCAGCATCAAAGGGAGGGGGTAGGGGTAGCATTAATAAAGGGAAGGAATGTTAATAGTATGTAGTTGCAGTAACTAAACAACAACGTAAAAAGCTAAAGTATAAACTACATAGTATCATCAGCATGCTAACTATACTCTCAATAAGCTGAGCTACTAACCGTAAGTAATACATTACAATTTTAGGTCGCAAAAAAAATAATATGCTTCCAGCTAAACTTTTAAAACTTTTTTCTTACATCACACGGGTCTATCCCGTACTATATGCTGCCATAGACAAACCCAACATTAAATTGTATACTGTATTACTATACACTACCCTATGTCTTAGAATAATACATAGTGTAATATTACACTATGTATTATTCTACCCACCCAACTGTATACCACACTGCTGTATATTCACTATACAATTACGATACTATATATTACCTTATACATTGTATTAAACATTACACTTTAATACTATTTACTAGCTGTACTACCCGGCTTCGCCCGGGACTTGTATCCACCACGGCCGGCCGCCTTTGTCTCCCCAGTGGCGATGTTAATACGCCACACCAGTTACTCGTTTGAGGCTGAGTCGACCTATGTGAGGTTCAAATAATCTTGATCGGTGGTGGCCATGAGCGGGAATCTAACTCGGTTCGCCGGGTTGGTAGCGCAGCGTAGCGTTAACCACTACACCCACCGCTCCTCACACACACAGACGCACACACACACAGACACACGCAGAAACACACAGACAGACACAGACAGACACAAAGACAGCACGCTAACCACTACACTACCGCTCCCCACACACCACACACGCAGACACACACAGAACACACACACAGACAGACACACACACACAGACACACAGACAGCACGCTAACCACTACACTACCGCTCCCCACACACCACACACGCACACACACAGACACACACACAGACACACACACAGACACACACACACAGACACACAGACACACACACACACAGACACACACAGGCAGCACGCTAAGCACTACACTACCGTTCCTCCTACACACCACACACGCACACACACAGACACACACACACAGACACACACACACAGACACACACACACAGACACACACACACAGACACACACACACAGACACACACACAGACACACACACAGACACACACACACAGACACACACACAGACACACACACACAGACACACACACACACACATAGACACAGGCAGTACGCTAAGCACTACACTACCGTTCCCCCTACACAACACACGCGCGCGCGTCCATAGGTACACATACACGCGCTTGCTGCAGACACACACATACACACACATACATAACCGCACATACACACAAACACATACACACACATGCATACACACAAACATACACATACATACAAACACACACATACATACACACAAACACATACACAATACACACACACATACATACAGACACACACATACATACACACAAACACATACAGACACATACATACACACATACATACAGACACACAGACATACACATAAACACATACACACATAGTCATGACCCGGCTTTGCCCGGGACTTGTATCCACCACGCCCGGCCGCCTTTGTCTCCCCAGTGGCGATGTTAATACGCCACACCAGTTACTCGTTTTGAGGCTGAGTCCCTCCCTCGCCACTCTGCCTCCCTCGCCACTCTGCCTCCCTCGCCACTCTGTAGAGGACGTGAAATTTGTATGAATTTACCGCAGAGTGGCGTGTTGGGTGTCGAGGCCTAGCACCGTGCAGAGCCTCCCGCCTTGCCTGATTTTCCCACCCGGCGAACGCTGGGTACGGGTGCCGGTCCCCCCCCCCCCCCCCCGCGCTATTAAAAATGGCGTCCACCCCGCGGAAAAAGTTGCTACTCGTTGCCAGGGGCAACCGCCGTCCAATGAAAGCGGCGAAGGCGTGGCTAGCCGTTGCCAGGGGCAACCGCCGTCCAATGAAAGTGCAGTCCACACACACACACACAGACACACAGACATGAACGATTTTATATATATAGATTATTATACAATATGCTATACACTATACCATTGACCGTCGCGTGAAAGGTACTAAGAGGAAGCAGCGGAGCAAAGAATCCATTCCCTGCGAAGAATACAAGATATATAGTCCATGTCAGTGAGTGGAACGCGGTCTGAAAGTCACCGTAAACGTGGATACAATCAGTTAAGATCCGAAATGGTTTATTACGTCCTTCCAATGATTGCTAAGCCGGAATCCATCTGTGATGCCGCCGCCACGAAGCCGTTCGGCAGGCGCCCCATCCCCGACCTCGCCACCACCAAGCAACAGAGCCAACCCCTTGTCCCCCTCACCTCACCTCACATGAACACACCCGCACGCATTTCCCCCCCCCCCCATAGAGCTCCGAGGGGAGGTCACCTGGCCGACCGGTTTTTATTCGAGAAATCCTTATCGGGATTAACTCTCACGGTTTCCGGCGATCAGGGAATTGGATGACCTCCCCCGTGCTACATTGCGCCGCGGCGCTGCGACCGTCCTTAATATGGTGTGGTCGCGGCGTGGGACATTCGGCCACCGCGGTTGAGGCGCATTTCCCCTCACACACACCCCCACGGGTCGACGAGACAGACGGAGGAGGGAGGGGACAGCATGAATAGCGGGACCGCAGGGGCTCTTGCGCATAGTCATGGAGGGTTGGGATCATTACGCTTGAGCGTGCAGGCCCCATTGTTAGGAAGGGTAAGGGAGTAATTAGGATGTACGCCGCCAACGCCGCTCACTGATTAGCATATCAAAAGCGCCCGGAATCGCCGTGCGCGGGCTCGAGGTGCACGAGCCCATTGTTCAGCGCAGCATCCCTTTGAGGTAGGGAGGATAAATAGGGGGGCGCAAAGGGGAAATCGCGCGCTTCTCTCCAAGCCAGCGGACCAGCAGCAGCTCCAGCCAGCGACCCGAACGTCTGTGGGACGCATCGAGGTACGCTGTTAGCGCAGAGAGCAGCGAACCTCCGCGGGCACCAAACAGTGAGTGGGGAGGTGAAGTAGGATAATAGCCGATAAATAGGGAATAGGTACAGGTTTAGTGGAATAGGCCAGCCTCGTCGACTCACTGATTCAACATTAGTTACCAGGTAATAAATCATTAATAGCGAAGCGTGGTCTCGCGTGATCTTGTCGTGCAGTGTGAGCGTGTGAGTGCGCGTGTGTACGCAGTGATTCTGTAGTGATGCGGCTCGCCTCTCGGGGGAGCTGCTGCGCAGAGCGGTGCGAGAGTGGGTGTCGCGTGTGTTCACTCCGTGTGTGATACAGGTGCGCGATCATAACTTGCGTAGTCGGTGTGGAGTTGGAGTGCACGGAGCGGTGTGTGTGTGTGTGCGTACGTTCGCTCCGTGTGGGTTGCAGGTACGCGATTAGGAAAGGGAGGTATCGTGGTAGCGTAAAGGGGACATAATACTACGCGGTATCTAACCATGCCTACTACGCGGACCCGCGGCAGAGGGGAATCCTCGGGCGACGGCTCCCACACCATGGGTGAGGAACCTAGCAGCGGTTCGCTTAGCAGCGGGGGGGCGATCGATGATGTTAGCCCGGCCGTTAGCATTGTCGAGGGAGGGATCTCGGGGGCTAGCGACCCCGACACATCTTCTCGGTTGACATTGTCTCTGTGTTTGTATATGTGGATCGCCTCATGAACGAATTCTTCTTGCCACCACCATCCATCCCAGAAGAATTCCCTCATCAAGACTCTATACCATAGAGCCCAATGCATTTCCGACCAGGAACACATTGCCAGTGAACTCAAACACGTACGCCAAGCTCTTAAGGCTAATGGTTACTCCGACTACACAATCCGCAAAGCCATCACTCCAACCATCAAGAAGGATCCTGTTGAGGAGCCTCTCAAGACCATCACCTTACCCTACATTGCTGGGGTCACAAAAAAGATCTCCAAAATCCTGATTAAACACAAGATTCAGGTCCGATTCAACACAGTACATAAAATCCGTGATCTGGTCCCGTCTGTAAAAGATGTGGTTCCAGACATACAGTACCCTGGCGTCTACAAACTAAGTTGCCTCTGTGGTAGCAGTTACATTGGAGAAACCAAACGACATGTCTCGGACCGCATCCGTGAACATAAAGCAGACTTGAAACACGGTAGGACAAACACCTCAGCCGTGGCAGATCACTGTTACAATTCAGTGGGTTCACATGATATTGACTTCTCCAAGAAAGAAGTTCTCTGCAAGCCATCTGGCTACCATGAGAGATTCGTTCATGAGGCGATCCACATATACAAACACAGAGACAATTTCAACCGAGAAGATGGATTCCGGCTTAGCAATCATTGGAAGGACGTAATAAACTATTTCGGATCTTAACTGATTGTGTCCACGTTTACGGTGACTTTCAGACCGCGTTCCACTCACTGACATGGACTATATATCTTGTATTCTTCGCAGGGAATGGATTCTTTGCTCTGCTGCAAACTTCCTACCACCACTCTCCCATTGACATATTTCGTTGCTTCCTCTTAGTACCTTTCACGCGACGGTCAATGGTATAGTGTATAGCATATTATATAATAATAAATAGTATTAAAGTGTAATGTTTAATACAATGTATAAGGTAATATAGTATCGTAATTGCATAGTGAATATACAGCAGTGTGGTATACAGTTGGGTGGGTAGAATAATACTTCTTCTTCCTAGCGTTGTTCCCGCTGTGGCGCAGGCATTGTCTTCTCCATTTGGCTCGGTCCAGGGCATCTTCAGGGGATGCGTTGACCGTCTTCATGTCTTCCTTTATTCGATCCATCCATCGCTTCTTCGGACGTCCGCGTGGACGGCGGCCCTCTGGCTCAATACGCATGGCAGTCTTGGCCACTGATGACTCTTCACTTCGCATCACATGGCCGTACCACCGAAGCCTTGCCTCAAGCATCTTGTCCGCAATGGGGGCCACACCAAGTCGCTTCCGAACGTCTTCGTTCATGACACGATCCCATCGAGTGAGTCCAAGGCTCCATCTGAGCATCCTCATCTCCATGGTGTGGAGAGCTTGTTCGTGTACAGTTGTGGCTGGCCAGCACTCGGATCCATAGAGTGCCACCGGTCGGACGATGGTCTTGTAAATTTTTCCCTTCAGCCTATCCGGCATTTTCCTATCACAGAGGACTCCGGTGACTTGCCTCCACTTCATCCATGCCGCATTGACTCGTGACCTCACATCAGTCGTGATGCTACTATCTGAGCTGATGGTGGAGCCCAGGTACTTAAAGTCTGTCACTTTCTTCAGATCTTCTCCGTCAATGCTGATGGTGCCGTCGGTTTGGGGGCCACACTCCATATACTCCGTCTTTTTGATGTTGAACCTCATCCCGTTTTCGTCCAAACGTTCCTTCCACAGGCGCGTTTGTCTTTCCACTTCTCCTCTCTCTTCATCTGAGAGGAGGACGTCATCCGCGTAGAGAATTGACCATGGCAGGGGCGTGTGCAGGTCGGCAGTGATCGTGTCCATGCACAGGATAAACAGGAGTGGTGACAGGGCCGATCCTTGGTGCACTCCAACGCTGATGGGAAATGGCGGTGATATGCCCACTGCACACCTGACTGCACTGGTGACATTCTTGTATAGGAGTTGCACCCAATGCACATAGGTTTCAGGGACTCCATGGGATCGAAGCGAGTGCCAGATGAGGTCGTGGGGGACCCTGTCAAATGCCTTTTCAAGGTCGAGGAACGACACGTGCACAGCTTTGTTCTTCTCTCTGTGCCTCTCCAGCAGGAGCCTCGCCGAGAATATGGCGTCCGTAGTGCCACATCCTTTGACGAAGCCGCATTGGTTGGGTGATAGGGTGATGATGTTTCTAATCCTCGTGTCCAAAACTCGCTCAAAGATCTTCATCGCATGACACAGGAGCCGGATTGGCCTGTAATTCGAGCATTCTGCCACGTCCCCTTTACCCTTCCAAATTGGAACCGTTGTGCTGGTCGACCAGGCTTCTGGGACCTCACCGGTGCTCGTGATGGTGCTGAAGAGCTGGGTAAGGAGGGCAGCACCCTGCCTGCCAAGGATCTTCCAGGCCTCAGCAGGGATATCGTCCGGGCCAGTCGCTTTCCCATTCTTCATTCTCTTGATAGCTTGTTCCACTTCGGTGATGGTGATAGGCGAAACCGGACCGAGGACGTGTTCAGCGCTAATAATAGGTGGGTGGGGAAATTCCTGGTTGCAGATTCCAGAGAAGTAGTCACTCCAGCGTTGAAGGATGGCGGGCGGGTCTCTGAGAGGTCTGTGATTCTCATCCTTTATGCATTTGACCTGACCAATATCCTGAGTCGAACGATGGCGCGCCTCTGCCAGTCGATAGATCTTATTGGCACCTTCTGGTATTGAGCTAATTTCACCGCTGCTACTACTCGCTTCGCTGCCGATTTGCAGTTTCTGTATTGTTGGTAATCCAGATCTGCAAGCGTTTTCCGCCACTTCTTGAAAGCTAGCTTCTTCTCTTTCACTGCTAGCTGAACTTCTTCGTTCCACCACCATATTTGCTTGTCAATGAAGCGTTTTCCCGGCTTAGTTAGCCCCAGTGCTTCCGTTGCTGCTGTGCAAAGTTGGCCGGCGAGATCTTCCCAAATAGCATTCGCTGGTCGGTTGGTGTTCACGTCAATCTGATTGAGGGCGACTCTCAGCTGATCCTTGCATTCCTTCATCCGGCACCACTTAATTTGCTGCTGTCCCGTTATTCTAAGACATAGGGTAGTGTATAGTAATACAGTATACAATTTAATGTTGGGTTTGTCTATGGCAGCATATAGTACGGGATAGACCCGTGTGATGTAAGGAAAAAGTTTAAAAAGTTTAGCTGGAAGCATATTATATTTTTTGCGACCTAGAATTGTAATGTATTACTTACGGTTAGTAGCTCAGCTTATTGAGAGTATATTTAGCATGCTGATGATACTATGTAGTTTATACTTTAGCTTTTTACGTGGTTGTTTAGTTACTGCAGCTACATACTATTAACATTCCTTCCCTTTATTAATGCTACCCCTACCCTTTGATGCTGCTAATCCTGCATAATACATGGGCATAATATGACTTTGAAAACCCCCCGCCCACCTCCTACGCATTTCACAAGTAGCACTAGTCGCATTCCTGCATTTCCCATAAATATGCTAAATACCTCTTGATATGCAGATTATTTTGTCAAGGTGCATTTTCCCCCCCTCCCAACCCAGCTTGAATAGACGCTCCAAGCGTGGTGGTGTTACATTTAGATGCTGTCGCCTCGACAGACCTGGTCTTCACCTGAGGACGGCTGCTTGTGTTGTGGCCGAAACGTCGTGAGAATTATTTTATTATGTTTTATTTTTATTATTTTATTACTTCCCTTCTACGTGACTTTACCGAAAGAACCAAGAAGATGAATCCCTGCAGTCACGAAAGCTTTAAATCGAAATTTAACTGTAAGCAGCTTATACGCCGACTGCACACAGCGCCAGTACGTACGTCTACAAACGCCTGTATCTCCTGCAGCACCATCCTCCACTCCTGCTCATCGCCACCGTGCTGTCTGCTGTACGCTCCCACCTCATTGGTCAACTCCTGCGAACACACAACGCTTAATTAAATGCAGAAGAGCAGTGTATACACAACATATCCATTTGCGTCTTTGAGGGGTACATAAGTAACAAAATAAACGAGCGGATAGTACGCCTCCTTCAAATTTATATCTCGCCGCATAGAAAATACAGTCGTCCCTCGCTTAACAGGACATCAGTGAAAGTTTTTTGGTTAACGTTACACCTCTCATAGTGCATAGTTTTGACTAATGTTAAAAGTGAGATTCAGTACGTAAACATTATGTACGCGGGTGCCAATTTCGACCAGTACGTAAGTGGGTTGCGCCATGCCCTCAGCCAATCAGTGACGTACATTTATGAGTGCATAGACCTAGACTGGCTTTGTTTACATTATATTTTCTGTTTTGGCAGCAGAAACAGCTATCTTGCAAACTCATGCAATTCCTATATTTGATTAACAGTAGTTTTCGTGGAACGGATTAAAAACGTCAATCGAGGGACTACTGTATGAGCATTTTTAGACATCACATTAGCCAACATGGCCAGTCAAGCCCATTTGAACCAATGCTCGTGAACTGCTAGATATTCAGAAGCAAGGACCCTCTCTGTTCGAAGTCGGTCCAGTCGGTCCAGTCGGTCCTAGGTCCAAGTCGATCAGCACATAAGTGGGTTGAATCCACCTAATGTCACCGCTGATTGAAGATGCCGGTAGCTCTCTCACCGTGACCAGGTCGCGCACCACATGGTACTTGTGAAGTAGCAGCGACACGACCACGAAGCGCGCGACGTAGCGCAGCTTCTTCACGCACAGGTCCGGACTGCATTCCACACAGCAGCGCAGCCACCGACACAACATAGCACGCACACACGGAACGTCATCCACTGTGTCCGTAAAGGGCCTCCTCATACAGGTTCCAACACATCACAGTCTCATTTCACTGCAGAAGAACATGAGTTCAAAGGTTCAGTCATCATCAGTTCATCAAACCCTACTCAATAATGTTTTATATTTGTGCCAGTTTTTTTACCTAATTATATTGTGACTCACGTGATGGAAGATGAAGACATTTCCATTAATATCTCTCAGAAAACAGTACTTCACCCTATGTTATAAAAGCACATCGGAAGGTGACAAATAAGGCTAAGATTTTGTCACCGAAGTCATGGTGGTCACGCATATCGTGAATTAGAATAAAGTCTAAAGTTAAATCTTGGCAATGGCTGTTGCACCACATTAGATGAGGTCCATAACATTTATTTTGGGTTCAATCGCGTAAATATAAATGTGTTGTTAAACCCGGCACCACCCGATACAGCCAATTAGTAAGGTTTGTTACGTAAATAGAACATTCCAATTCGTTACACGTACAGCACACCAGTGTGTTGGAGAGCAAATCCACAACATTTACAATCTGAGTACGACGTTTCCCAGTATTTACAACTAGCTTCATCAGGCGACAGCCAGATTTGTGGAGAAATCTTCCTGTTTCATTCCTTAAATAGATGGATAGATGTGATGACGTCAATTTTGAGCCCTTCTTGTAAAAAGGGGAAGGGATTAATGAATGCATACAAATTACAATGGGGATCCATTGCCGGTTGGGTTTTTCATAGGGTAATCAACGTACATTGTGCATGCACATTGTTCTTCTACCTCCTGTCGTTTGGTGCAATAAAATAGCAGTACCAGTTATTGTCTGCGAACAGCTAATTTATGTATGGTGACCTGAATAGGCATGCATTTAAACAATGTATTATTTAATGATTCGCTTCGAAGCAGCACGAAACCTGTAGCTATCTGAACGGTTAGGTGCTTCCAGGGTTGGGGGACAAACCGGCCAAGGCAAACATGAGTAATCAACCTGCGGAGATGCAGACATACGCACATACACAGAGGTGGAGACAGACAAGCTGAGACACGGGCACAGCCCCGGGCTCCCGTCAGCCCTCACCGTGTGTCTGTGTCAGCGCTGTTGTAGTAACCGCGCTGTCTGATCGCCGAGTAGAAGGAGAAGGCCTCGTTCAGGTACCCGGTCTCAGACGTTCGCAGGCTGCAGGCAGAGCAGGCACCACTAAAATACACGCCGCACTGCATCACGGCACCGCTCAAGGCAGGATCAACAACTCAGCTAGGAGCTCACTGAAATACGTTTGGTTTTATCTGGTGTATGGTTTATCAAAAATTACACTCAATTTATGTACAAGTAAGAGTCATTATGTAATATCCAAAATTTTCCAAAGCTCCGAAAGGTTGCAATAATGAAAACGCAACAGTAAGACAACACAGAAATAATGCTGGTGTCATGTCAAGAGGCCTCTCTCGCTACAACCACTAGGCTACAGTCAATGCTAAGTGAAGAGTGGCTTACCCCAAGCAAAGAATTTGACTGGGAACAACAAATACTCGCTACAAGAACGTCTCACATGAAACCGTGGCCTTCGAGAGACTGATGCGGCAATGCTAACGCAGTCACCAACAATAACAATATTTGTGTTGTTATTATTAATGCAATATGAGTATTAATGATTCTGCTGGGTGGCATGGTGGTAATGCATTTGACTCACTATCATAAAACAGTTTCACATTCAAATTCCTGTCATGGGTCACTAAAATGAGCACCAATTTGTGGGAAGTAAACAGTGGCTGCCCAAAATTTTACCCATAGGCTTTGCGAGCAATATTATGATTCAATATTGACAATTGGGTCAAATCGCCACATGAGCAAACCGTGTGTGTCGTACACCCTCCTCTACCCGACACAGCCAGTTAATAAAGTTGTTACGTGATGAACAATCGTGCCAATGTATGCCTGCTTCAGCACCACTGGCGTGTTGTTGGGGAGAATTGTTAAATGTTGTGAGATCGCTCTCCAACATACTTGTGTGCTGAAGCATTAAAACATTGCCAGGTTTGTTCATCACGTGACAAGTTGATTAATTTGCTGGGTCGGGTGGATAGGGGTTAAAAAAACTAATTTATTATTAATCAGTGGCTGCCCTACAAGGTGGCTGGTTCTCATGTTTTAACAATGTGGGATGTCCACCACTGGCTTAGGAACACCGTGGGAGATGGGCATAACCCCTGAGCTCATTTGAGTCTACGGAAACTTAACTGGCATTTAATAGAATGTAGTTAGATCCTATTTGGTCACCTCAATGAATTATGTTGACTGTGATCCTTTCCCCAAGCATCATGGTGAAGAAGAGGAGTTTTACGATAGCTAACAAGTGAGTTTTTCAGATGCCAAACCTAAAAATGCCCTTGACAGATAAATACCGTAAAAACGTTTCACCGTCACATTTGAGAAAAATGCTACTAAGCGCCAAGTTAAATGGTTATAAAGTGAGTAGTGCGGTGCAGCATGGTTACTAGTAGTGATAGTAGAGCTGCCCGATCTTGGAAGCAATCTCCCCAATCTGCCATCGCTTCAGGCCAAACCGTGCATCCAACAACTGTCTGCACACACACATGCGGACAGGTACACACACATGCATGCACAGTCATAGCCTTCGCAGACAATTGGAGCAAGTGCTCTTAGTGAGCACCTATGAAGGTCGGAATGGCATATGGGGAAGTGGGTAGCCAGTACATTTTACCAGGGACTCATTTGAGGCTGAGTCCACCTAGGGGAGCCCCAGGACCAGTTAAAATAATCATTACTGGTGTTAAACGTGAGCGGAAATCTAACTCGTGTTGCCGGATTCATAGTGCAGCATGCTAACCATGAACCTACCGCTCCCCATAGATGCCCACACACATAGATACACATACGCACGACATTACGTCAATCCAAAGCAACGCACAACTCACAGAAGCACAGTGACCCTGAGCCGCTGGCAGAAAGATCATATTCCTATGACAGTGGACAGGCTGTCCACACTACAACCACTGATGCCGGTTGTGCATGGGCTCTCACCTGGCCACAAATGGGATCAGTTTACCCCAAACGAAATTTTACCCTGCAGTTATCCAAATGTGAGTCGAGCATTCTATACAATGCTGTGTATATATATGTGTATATATATTTTAAAAATATCCAGTATTATTTCGTTATTCGTGAGGGATATGTTCCGGGATGTTCTTGAATAGCACATTTCATGGAAAATTATATTGGCCTACAAAAACATTTAAATGCATTACCTAACATAAATATGTAAATAAGCTTTTAAATCCACACACAAATTATTATCACATACACAATAAAAATTGGTGATAATAAACATAATGTAAATAAAAATGTATATTCAAGTATAAAATAATAGTATATAAATGAACTTACCTGATCTCATAACTTTATCTCATTAATTTCTGACATCACATTCTCTCTCATCACTTTTTCTCATTACTTTCTTTCTCTCTCTCTCCAGATGCAATAGTGTATAGTTCCAGATGCGATTCGTGGACAGCAAAAATAAAGGATAGCAAGTTCGTGAAAAATGTGGGACTACTCTACTGTATATACACGGTATATTAATAGCATATACATCCAATTTGGTAACACTGTTGGCAAAGCCATAAGTTCATATTCAGAAGGATACAGTATCAAATCCTGGCGGGAGGTTTACTTAGTCCATCATCGCTGATAGAAATGAGCAACACTTTGATGGAAGTCAACAGGGGTTGTCCTATGGAGGGACTCGGCCTCACCATGGGAATGTATAATTTCCATCACTGGCTCTGGACCACAAGTGAAGATGATCGATGCCCAAATTCTATTTTGACACTTTAATATTTGAATTTAAATACATTTGCTGGTGACACGCACACACACTCGCAGTAAGGGTGCGTGTGAAAGCACCGCTGTGCACAGGCGACGTTTAGGGAAATGGCCCTGATTCAAATGTGAATATATAATTGCCAATATGAACGTTTTGGCTAACATTAGAACATTCACAAGATGCGCCATTGCCCAAAAAGTCATAAAAAGTAATGGTCAAACTCAGGAATAAATTTATTGACTCTGTGCACATTGGCTTTAGAGGTGAGCTCGTTAACCACGGGGATATTCAGCCACTTACTGTCTGCACAAACACAGCAACACCATTAAATTTGGCCAACACGAGCATATTCACAGGTACGCAAGCGGCGCTCATATAATTGTACGTGTCTTTACTTAGGACACTGCAGCTGACGCACCGGTTCTGCTGCTGGTGTTTCCATAGGCGTGTGTACACATCGAAGGTGCGCGTGAAGTGAGGTTGCCAGTGGTTTTGTCCATACTGCGGCAGGTCCCTGAAGAGTGGAGCCAGAATGGAAACATTGCTAATATAAAAAAAAATGTCACAAAACAAACCCCTGCAGTCAAATTATTTACAATTGGGCAGAAACACAAAAACAATACTAGTAGAAGCATACACCACATAACACTACATGATTCCAGGGTTATTTCAGGATCATATGGCTGGGTGGCTCTGTGGCAGGGCACTCCATTTACAAGTGAAACATGATGAGTTCACATCCAAATGGGGGATCGACACGGTCCATCAGTCCTCTGGGGCTAAAAACATGGGTACCATTTTGCAGGAAATCAACAGTGGTTATCCCATGGGTAGTCTGAGCCCTACGATAATGTGAAATTTACAGCAATGACGCAGCGCCACCAACAGATGAGTTCTTGATTCAGTCCTCTTTTCTGTTACTCTCTACATTCAGCTGATTAAAAATCTTCTTGTTAGACTTGTATTAATAATTTGTGGATACAGAGCTGCAGTCTTCATGCTTCGATGTGTACACATAATGCTTTGTCTGCTGCTTTATTTTCAAGCTCCTTACATTTGACGTATTTTGCTATGAAAACGTCCTGTGCCCTTGATTCGCTGTCAACAAATGTGCTAAAGGCATTTTTTCTGGAGCTGCTGTCATTCATTTATAACAAGGGGGACATTTCTGAAACTCCAGCCAATCATAACAAATACGTGCAATTTATCACATCATTGCAGAGTCAGTAACACGCCACACCACAGCCAAAGGAGGCCAATGCCGACTCTTCTGATGTCGAGAACTACAGACCAATCTGCAACCTAACCTTCATGTCAAAGGGTGTCCAGAGAGTGGTCTGTCACCTTCTTGGAGCAACATGGCCTTTTTTTATAGGCTTCAGTCAGCTTACAGGTGGTACCACTCAACAGAGACTTCAGTTCTCATGGTCATCTCAGGCGCTCTCCTGGCATCTGACCATTGCAATGTAACACTCCTCACTTTACTTGATTTGTCGGCTACTTTTGACATAGTCAACCACAGCATCCTCATCGACCGTCTTCAGAAAGCTTTCTGCATCCACGGATCCATGCTGCCATGGATCAAGTAATTCATAGTGACGAATACAAACTTCTGCTTTCGGACAGCAGTCGACTAAATCAACGGTGCAGGTGGCGGCATGGCGCAAGGCAGTGTGCTGGAACTATTGTTCTTCCTCAAGGTTGCCGATGTCATTGGCTCGTCATCATGGTCTCGGTGTGCGTTCCTATGCTGATGACACGCGGCTCTACTCTCACAATGGAGCTTCCATCGTGCATCGCACAGCTTCCACACCTGGTCTTGTGTATCGACAGCATCAACCAGTGGATGTCGTCCGTTTGCCTAACCCTAACTGCTATAGTGGTGAATCGTTACGCGCACGCCTGCCTAGTGTGCCGACATGGAAATGTGCGCCACACACGAGCGCATACCGTAGGCCGTTGAAGAGCTGCCGTGACTTGTCAAGGAGGTACGTAAATTCGGAGACGGCACGCCTCTCGTCACCTGCCATGGGCTCTGCTGTCTCGATCCCCGTGCCCTGCCCACTCACCATTGCGCTCATCCTGCCCTAGAGCACACACACCATGAGCAATCAACTCCCTCAGCATTCACACCGTATACTCACCTCAAATCGCTTTAGCACGCAACAGCATATGGCAACAAACTTAACACAGCCTGCAGAGCCTTCTATTAAAAAAATATAGTCTTAAATAAATAAATAATATGTGTGCCTTTCATTGCTTGGATTATGTATACAAATGGATATGTCATTGTGTGCTTGCTATGTGTGTGTCAACTGACAACACTGGACACCCTAGAAAATAACGCGTTCCATCTCGTGAGATCAACCAGGTGAAATATATTAATAAGTAAAGTTAATAAAAAACACAGATATATGTGAACTATATTTATAGCCCATTGAGACAAATGTCTCGTGAGCAAGAGAGATTTAATGGGTGCAAATGTCTAAGACAAAACAAAATAACGATACAATTGTAAAAATCACGTGTATGTGGCAAGAATGTGAAAATCATTGTGATATGCGCAACAAGAAAAGTCACGCAAAAAAAGCTTTCAACTGTACATTTCGCACAGGTAAATGGCAAATGTGCAGTGTTGTGAAATAACAGCAGCTCCTCTGCCATCACCTACACAACAAAAAACCCACGTCATTGCGTTTAGGGGTAGTTGCTATAGCTTTCTGCTTAATGAGTTTCCAAAACATTTGCAATGCAGAAAAATAAAATCTGTGGGAACCACATAAACATCACTGAATACTCCTTTGTAATCAATTACTCTAGCCCCTTTATAAATAAATGTTGGCTGCCCAACAATCCTGCCTCCCCCCTGATGGTGGGAAACTCCTTATAGGCCACAGCGAGCATGACATGGCTGATGATGCCGATGATATAAGGCCACAACCCATCACCTCCCGTCCAGCGGCGCATTTGGGAACAAGAGTGCAACTTTTTTCTCCAACTTATGCGATCAGTTGAGCTATCGAACTGATACAATCAGTAGAGTAATCGATTACTTGAGTGATCAGATATCTCAGTGCTAAATCAGAGTTAAAATCACCGATTCCTTTCCAGGATAAGTGGAGATTATGATGGTGTGATATCATACAAAGCATATTTTTTGCATGTTCACGTGTGCCCGCACACGTGCCTGTTTCGCCAACACATGTTCACTAACGTATTCACACAGGCATGAACGCATCAACAGATTTAGTTTTGAACGAATGGGCAGGTGATTAGGGTTCACACGACATCCGTACAGCACACAAACCAGACCACGTGCATTAGGATGACAAACACACACGAACACATGTGCACCTCACCACATGATGCTATGCATCAACACTAGAATTATTCATGGACACGTGCAGCAACGAATGAACACATAATACACTCATGCACCTAACCGTCTGACATACGCACATACATGTATTGTAAATGACACACACAATGCATGAATCACATAATCCAGCACGGGTACTTTTTCATTTGTGCTGCTTTCATTCTCTGGACCCCCCTGCAGTCAGTGCTTGTCGACTCCCTGCCCTAGTCCAGCCTTAAGATATTCTTCGATGACCTCATCCCTTTGTCAGTCTCTATGTATTTATGAACATGAATGCATTAATTATTCCTCCCTTTCCCCGGGACACCCACGTCTCTCTGTCGCGCACAGCAGCGACTTGTGGTGCGTGGAGGAACACGACAACACGCGCCTCCGATTAGGCTACGTACGGTGCAAAATACGTTCAACATACATACATACAGACACGGGCCTGAACGTCAACGCGCACACACGTACACAAGTGCACACACAGGCACACGTGCAGGAACAAGACACGTCCCACACATGCAAACACACGTTGTGCTTACACGTGCACATACACGCCTACACACACGCATCTGCACACAAAGATCCTCCGTATAGTTTGAACAGATGTTTGGGGCAAGTGCGGTTAGCACTACACCTGGCCACTTTTGTCTCCCCAGTGGCGATGTTAACACACTGCACTAGGTACTCATTTGAGGCTGCACACCCACCTGAACGCACACACACCTGCACATACACACAAAAGAGCAAAGTCCCCCCTAAAGCCTTCACAGACTGCAGGGTCAAGTACTGTAAGCAAGCACCTATGAAGGCCGGCACGGCACACGAGGGGGTGAGTGACAAGCACCGCGCCTGACCGCCCTTGTCTCCCCAGTGGCGATGTTGCACTTACACACACCTGCACGCACGCACACACCTGCACATACACGCACCTTCACGTACACACACGCGCGCCTGCACAAACATGCGTCTTCACCCGCACACACCTTCACACCCCTGCACATACCAGTGACGTGCGGTGAGGTCAATGGCTGGGGAGGCACTGGCTAGTGTCAGAGCCAGATTCACACACTGAGGGGGGCGTGGCCTCACTGAGGGGGGCGTGTTAGACACATCCCCCTCAGTGAGGCAGATGTGATAGCTGCCTCCCCTGGTGCTTTTTCATTGCAGTTTCATGACGAGACCGGCGAGCCAAAATATCTTTATACACACACGTGAAATAAGTTACCTGGAGTATGGAAGGCGAGGAGATGAAATGAAGGGGTCTATAAACATTACATTGGTGACATACTGAGATAGTAACAGGCACGCGCTTATTGCCCACGCTCCATCCAGTTACTGAGGGGTTTTGCAATCAGAGGGGAAGCTGAACTCGTCACTGCCTCACCACTCGTCGCTTCCAGTATTTTCAGCAGAGCTCCGCAAATTCGGCGATTTTGACTATAAAAATGATTGGAATCGTACAGAAATGACATTTATAACACAGATCAGTGGAAAAATCTTAATATTTATTTTATTTGATTATTCTTTTTTTTTTACTTTTCGTAACAGATATTCACATGCACACGAGCCTACACGCACACACACGCACCTGCACGACACACCCCTGAAGGTACACACACGCGCCTGCACACACAGACACGCACCTGCATGTACAGTGAGGGAAAAAAGTATTTGATCCCCTGCTGATTTTGTACGTTTGCCCACTGACGAAGAAATGATCAGTCTATAATTTTAATGGTAGGTGTATTTGAACAGTGAGAGACAGAATAACAACAACAAAATCCAGAAAAGGCATGTCAAAACTGTAATAAATTGATTTGCATTTTAATGAGGGAAATAAGTATTTGAACCCCTATCAATCAGAAAGATTTCTGGATCCCTGGTGTCTTTTATACATGTCATGAGTTGAGATTAGGAGCACACTCTTAAAGGGAGTGCTCCTAATCTCAGCTTGTTACCTGTATAAAAGACACCTGTTCACAGAAGCAATTAATCAATCAGATTCCAAACTCTTCACCATGGCCAAGACCAAAGAGCTCTCCAAGGATGTCAGGGACAAGATTGTAGACCTACACAAGGCTGGAATGGGCTACAAGACCATTGCCAAGCAGCTTGGTGAGAAGGTGACAACAGTTGGTGCGATTAATCGCAAATGGAAGAAACACAAAAGAACTGTCAATCTCCCTCGACCTGGGGCTCCATGCAAGATCTCACCTCGTGGAGTTAAAATGATCATGAGAACGGTGAGGAATCAGCCCAGAACTACACGGGAGGATCTTGTCAATGATCTCAAGGCAGCTGGGACCATAGTCACCAAGAAAACAGTTAGTAACACACTACGCCGTGAAGGACTGAAATCCTGCAGCGCCCGCAAGGTCCCCCTGCTCAAGAAAGCACATATACATGCCCGTTTGAAGTTTGCCAATGAAAATCTGAATGATTCAGAGGACAACTGGGTGAAAGTGTTGTGGTCAGATGAGACCAAAATGGAGCTCTTTGGCATCAACTCAACTCGCCGTGTTTGGAGGAGGAGGAATGCTGCCTATGACCCCAAAAACACCATCCCCACCGTCAAACATGGAGGTGGAAACATTATGCTCTGGGGGTGTTTTTCTGCTAAGGGGACAGGACAACTTCACCGCATCAAAGGGACGATGGACGGGGCCATGTACCGTCAAATCTTGGGTGAGAACCTCCTTCCCTCAGCCAGGGCATTGAAAATGGGTCGTGGATGGGTATTCCAGCATGACAATGACCCAAAACACACGACCAAGGCAACAAAGGAGTGGCTCAAGAAGAAGCACATTCAGGTCCTGGAGTGTCCTAGCCAGTCTCCAGACCTTAATCCCATAGAAAATTTGTGGAGGGAGCTAAAGGTTCGAGTTGCCAAACGTCAGCCTCGAAACCTTAATGACTTGGAGAAGATCTGCAAAGAGGAGTGGGACAAAATCCCTCCTGAGATGTGTGCAAACCTGGTGGCAAACTACAAGAAACGTCTGACCTCTGTGATTGGCAACAAGGGTTTTGCCACCAAGTACTAAGTCATGTTTTGCAGAGGGGTCAAATACTTATTTCCCTCATTAAAATGCAAATCAATTTATAACATTTTTGACATGCGTTTTCTGGATTTTTTGTTGTTGTTATTCTGTCTCTCACTGTTGAAATAAACCTACCAATAAAATTATAGACTGATAATTTCTTTGTCAGTGGGCAAACGTACAAAATCAGCAGGGGATCAAATACTTTTTTCCTTCACTGTACACACCCCTGCACGCACAAACACGCACATGCACGTACACAACCCCGCACGTACACACATGCACACACAGACACGCCCCTGCCCGTACACACCCCTGCACCTAACCACACGCGCCTGCACGAACACGCGTCTACACGCACACCTACACCTACGTAAACACACGCACCTCCCTTACACGTACACACGCGCCTGCACGCTCAGACACGGACATGCACGGACACAGCCCGACACATGCGTCTGCACACACACGCGTCTGCACGCACACACCCCTACACGCACACACCCCTACACGCACACACCCCTTACACGCACAAACACACGCCTGCACGTACACACGCGTCTGCACACACACTTGCACACACACGCACGTACACACCCCGACACGCACACACACACACACGTCTGTACACACACTTGCACACACACGCACGTACACACCCCGACACGCACACACACACGCACGTACACCCTCGACAGACATACACGCACGTACACACCCCGACACGCACACACACACACGCACGTACACACCCCGACACGCACACACGTACACCCCCCGACACGCACACACACGTACATACGTACACACCCCGACGCGCACACACACGTACACACCCCGGACACGCACACAGCACGTACACACCCCGACACACGCACACGCACGTACACACCCCGACACACGCACACGCACGTACACACCCCGACACACGCACACACACACCCCGACACACACGTGCACACCCCGACACACACGTACACACCCCGACACCACACACACGCACACCACGACACACACATGTACGTACACACACACACACACCCCGGACACGCACGTACACACCCCGACACACACACGCACGTACACACCCCGACACACACACACGTACACACCCCGACACACACGCACGCACACACCACGACACACACGCACGCACACACCACGACACACACGCACGCACACACCCCGACACGTCCATACCCCGACACGTACACACCCCGATGCGCACACGCGCTCCAGCATCCACGACCGCTCACCCGCGCTGCACAGCTCCAGGCTTAACGTCAGCGAGTGACGTCACGCGCGAGCCGACTACGACGAGCCACGCTGAACAATGCAAAGCGCGATTCGAAAATCAGGAAAATACCAAACTGCTGATGAGTCAACGTATGTCGAAACCGGACAATGGGATGTGTACAAAAATATACTTTAATTGTTTTTGTGTAGAGGGCTGGTATTGTGGGAAGGATGCGTCTACAGTATTGTACTGAGGGACTACTGTGTGTTATCTTGGTGTTGTCTGGGGCTGTGTTGCTTTTTCTGCCTTGCACTGTATTGATAAATCGGACTTATATAATTAATTTCTTATTTATATTTAGTGACTTGCTTACCATTATCTCTATTTTGCACTCCTATGTGTTTTTTGTACTGTTTGCTATTGTAACTTGCTCATCCGCCAATGCTGGATATCTGTGAAAGAGAGCTTCATAGCCCATCGGGTTCCTCCTGCAGTCGAAATAAAGATTCTGGTAGTGAATTGGCAGGGCCCTCTGTTCCATGCGTGTCAGGGCTATCGTCACAAGAGCTCTGCGTGACGTAATATCACAACACGTGACAACCGTCCCCCTGTAGTCAGTCAGCTTCACACGCGATGATTCGTCGCTTTACGGCTCACTCCCCCGGTGAGTTGAAGAACAGTTGTCAAACACCAAATGTATTCCTGCGATAGCAAGCGATTTAATTTGGTTTGCTGTGTCGGGTGGTGGAGGGTTCTAAATCATGCAAATTTGATCAGATCATGACGTTTCCTAAGGGGCCGTCCATAAATGACTTCACGCGATTTTGGACGATTTTTGACCCCCCCCCATCGTCACACGGCGTCACAAAACGTCAGACCCCCCCCCCCTCAAATATGACGTTACAAAGCTCTGCCCCCTCCCCCCAAAAAATAAAACATGCTTCAAATCGCTTTAAACTATTGTCATTGTAGTGCGTATTTAATATGCCGCTGCACTCTGATGTCATAGGAGAAAACATTTATTAAAAGTCTATATAATTAAGTAGAACGTGTTGATATTTAAAGTTGCGCATTTTGATGGTGACGTCACATTTCTCACCCCCCCCCCCCCTCGTCACACATCGTCACAAATGTCGGACCCCCCCCCCCTAAGTGCGTGACGTAATTTATGGACGGCCCCTAACCAAAACGTCAATTATGAATTAGGCACGTAGGGTTCCCTTCTAAACAAATATCACTTTGTGAAATAGCCCCCTCCCCATGAGTTTTAAGCCTTAACATTTAATAATGCACCCATTACATGGGTAAGGGAAGCTTTAGAGTAAACGTATTCATCTTATATTTGTTCAACTGACAGTCCAAGAATGTGTTGTTTTTAAACTGTCATCACATTTTAATTGTATAATTACGGTTATTAGATTGATAACATTAATTACAATACTGTATTTCTGTTTTTACGAGTTGTAGGGTACAATTGTAGTGACATTGAATGTGTCACTGTAGCGCGTGCCGCTGGGAGATTTGTAGACAATACAGGGTGTTTAAAGAAGATGCACACAATTTCAAAGCAGTATATTTCACGATGGTAATATGTTACAATTACACAAAAAGTTACAAACGGTTTAATGAGTTATTAAGTTTTACTAACCATTTTATAAATGCTCTATGTGTCCCTCCACCTGCTGTACGGACAACATCGAGACGATAGTTTAATTCGTCCCAAACGCCTCTCAAAGTGTCTTCTTCCACTGCCGTGATTCTGTTTTTGAGGTCATCCAGATTAGTCGCTAATGGTGGCACAAAAATTCGGTCTTTGACGTATCCCCACAAGAAAAAGTCGCAGGGTGTGACGTCTGGGGATCTTGAGGGCCAAGAGTGTAGCGCCAAGTCTTGGGGTCCTGTGCGACCTATCTAACGTTGAGGCAGTGTGTCTTGCGAATGACTGAGGCTAGGGCAGGGGTGGGCAAACTGTTTGACTCGCGGGCCACAATGGGTTCTAAAATTTGACAGAGGGGCCGGGCCAGGAACAGATGGATGGAGTGTTTGTGTGAACTAATATAAATGACATCATTACATGAAAGGATTTGGCCTTTAACGGGTAGCAAAGCATTTATTTGCAAGGCGATTTAACAAATTCACGAACATGAACAATACAAAAATATGTCGTAACGTGACTGATCAAACATCATGAGGACATCTGAGTCCTGCGCCCAAACCAATTACCTCACTTGAACTTATTTATTATCTATATTAACATGTTAGAGCAGCCACGCAGGCTGTGTGTTGGAGATTTGGCTCCAACCTCGCCGCAGCAACACAATCACTTTCAGTTTCAGTGGGAACAGTGTTGTTGATCTCCCATTTTTGCCAGTGCATCCAAGTCTGGAGTTATTTTGATTGTGGCAATTCTCAGGATAGATCTGAGGTGCTGATCCGTTAACTTTGATCTGTGACGGGCTTTATTGGCGTTCATGACGCTGAATGTCTGCTCACACACATAAGTCGAGCCAAACAAAGTCAGTATCTTCTGTGCAGTCCTCCGGAGGTTTGGAAACGTGGCTCTGTTAAGTGAAGCATAAAAGTCATTCAGTTTAACAGAGTTGAACTTCTCCTTTAGGATGGAGTCAGACTAAAGATCTATCAGTTCCAACTGCAGCTCCTGTGGTGCTGTTTCAAGGTCTTGTGACAGGGGACAGGACACCAGCTGAAGTGACTGTTCAATGTTTTCGAAATCAGAGAACCTACGGCAGAATTCTCCGTGCAGGTCCTCAAGTAATTTTCTGTATTTTTTGCGTTTTGCGGTGCCTCTTCCTGCATGGCAAGTGTGGGGAAATGAGCGAAAGATTTGTTCACAATTTGTCCAGAGAACAAAGTGAACTTGGATTTGAAGGCTTTCACATGTTTGTACATGTCGTGAACAAACTGATCTTTCCCCAGTAGTTTCACATTCAGCTCATTCATGTGTGAAAATATGTCCACAGCAAACGCAAAGTCACTAAGCCAGTTCTTGTCGCTTAGCTCCGGGAATTCGTCAGATTTCCCCATCAATTACAAAAATGCGATGATGTCCTCTTTAAACTCCCACACTTGTTGTAACACTTTCCCTAAACTTAACCAGCGGATACGAGAGTGGTACAGCAAGTCCTGATGATCCGCATCAGTTTCCTCCAGGAACGTAATAAACTGACGGTGCTGAAGTCCCCTTGTTCGTATAAAGTTCACAAGTTTTACGACTGGATTCACGACATGATTAAGCTGCAATACAGACTTACACAGGGATTCCTGAAGGATGATGCAGTGAAGGAAAATAAGATCCTGGACAGGTTTTTTCCTCTTTCACTTTATCCTGGATTATTTTCAGCAGCCCAACATGCTTCGTAGCAAAGTGACGGCTGATCTTGTACTCCTTGAAAACTGCGACAGTTTCTCGGCATATCAGGCATACAGCCTTCGATTGGACTTCAGTGAAAAGGTATTTTGTTGTCCACTCCGTGTTAAACACTCGGCACTCATTGTCCACTTTTCGTTTCCTTGATCCGCTCATTTTACAGAAAGGCTCACAGGGCAAAGCGAAAAAGTGAAGGGAGCACCGCATCTAACTCAGCAATGTAAACAAACCCTGAAAATGGCGCTGACGGCCCACAATGCATTGCGAGATCATGCGCCCTTTCGAGCCCTATACACCACACTCCCGGTCAAAGTGTGCCATCTAATGGCGAAATGGGGGCATTATAGGCGGAAGGTAAAATTTCATTTAATAATAATATTTGGACAAGTTCGGCGGGCCGGATTAAAAAGCCCAACGGGACGTACTTTTTCCATGTCTGGGCTAGGGGCTGTTTGTGCACTGGGAGAGGCATCTAGCGGTAATCATTTGAAACTCTTTGCTCTGCCCTTCCAAGTGGTAAGAGTTCATGGGCAGTTCGTGGTTGTATAGATGTAGCGATTTCAAATAGGGTCCATCGTTTTAAAACACTCTGTAGAATTAGGGGTAACAGCCCGTTTTACCAGTTGCACTTGTGGGCAAGGCACGGAGCCCTCTGGGGCATCGGTCCCCAACCTTTTTGGCACCAGGGAGCAGGCTGGCCACGTGGTGCAAGGACAACAATCTCCACCTGAATGTTGAGAAGACGAAGGAGATTGTCGTGGACTTCAGGAGAGTGCACACCCAGCATACTCCGCTAACCATCAACGGTGCTGCAGTGGAGAGGGTGAGATGCACCAAGTTCCTGGGTGTGCACATCTCTGAAGACCTGTCGTGGAGTCACAACACTGCATCACTGGCCAAAAAAGCCCAACAGCGCCTGTATTTTCTCCGCAAACTGAGAAGAGCAGGAGCCCCGCCCCCCATCATGCACACCTTCTACAGAGGCACCGTTGAGAGCATCTTGACGAGCTGCATCACCGTGTGGTACGGCACCTGCACTGTGTCCTGCCGCAAGACTCTGCAGCGCATAGTGAGAGCAGCTGAGAGGATCATTGGTGTCTCTCTCCCCCCTCTTCTGGACATTTATAACACCCGCATCACCAGCAAAGCAATCAAGATTGCAGGTGATCCCACCCACCCATCTCACAGCCTCTTCAGTCTGCTGCCGTCAGGGAGGAGACTGCGGAGTCTTCCAGCCAGGACCAGCAGGCTCAAAGACAGTTTCTTTCACCAGGCTGTCAGGAGACTCAACTCCCTCCCTGCTCTACCATCACTCCCCCCCTCTGCCCGCCCACCCCCCTTTGCCCCCTGACCCCATCCCCCACACACACATTCACTCGTACATCCTGATCTCTGGACTGCACATTGCACTACATCGCACTACCACACTGGTTTAAATATCTTATTTCTTTAAATACTTTATTTAAATAATATTTTACATTTTAAAAATTCTTGACTGTTGTTTATTTTATTATTTATCTTGTGTTGATCGCCGATTGTTTATTGTTTATTTATGTCTGTTAATTGTGATTAATTTTTTAATTGCTTGGTTGCACCGTGGGACCAAGAGAGAGGACTGTAATTTAATCTGTGTT